TGATTCCAAAAAAACATAAAGGTAAGTAATACTTTTTTTCCATATTTTATAGATACTACGTTTAACACTTATGTTTTTACTTTTTTATTTGAATTTTACATATTTATTTATTGTAAATGTACATATATGTTTGTGATTATTTTCGAACAATAGATTTTTTAACAGAAATTAAAGTGGACGGAATAGGGTAATTTAGAATATCAAGGTGTCCTTGATACCGTCCTACCGGACGGTATTAGGCATTAACTCCTTCAGTTTCAAACGCTTTTTAAATAAAAGTCTTAGTTAAATAATATAATCCAGCATATTTTCAACATTCTAAATGTTTTGCTCCGTTTAAAAACCTGAATACGACCTATAATAGGTACAACTCATTTTAAGAAAATTAGTGTCAAATATTAAGTGCATTCGAAAATTCAATTTAAAATTTAACTCAAGAAGGATGCATTTATTACCTATTCTAGATTTAATGTGTAAGTTTGGTTTAGTTTTAATTTGTAAAAAATGTTTATCGTATTTCTCTCTCTCAGTTTGTATTACCAAGTATGATAAAATGACTATCTAATTAGTAAAACACTCATTTAAAGGAATTGGGCGGACACAGGAACCTTCGGGCCTGTATCCGTCCAGGTTGGACGGACAGAACTATTTTAAACTCCTGTAACCGACCCCATAAAATATTACTAATTAAAGATTTTTGTTTCAGTTTTTTATTATCTGTAAGTATGGTATACAAAAATCGTATGAAGTATCCTCGAGAGAATATCCAAAAAGCTATAGAAGATATTAATTTAAAACGTTTAAGTATTCGACAAGCCTCCAAAATATACAATGTTCCTAAAAGTACTTTGTTAGATACTATGAAAGAAAAGTACAAAACTCCAGGCAATATTGGAGGGCCAACAGTTTTGTCCAGTTCTGAAGAAGACTTGATTGTAAAATGGATAATCGAAATGGGCAACGTGGGATTCCCGGTAACAAGATCTCAACTTGTTGATTCTGTTTCAAAACTAATTCAAAATTTGAAACGGAAAACCCCATTTAAAAATTACATACCTGGTAAAATATGGTACAATGGTTTTCTCGCTCGTCATCCAGAAATTTCAAAACGTGTTCCACAATCACTATCTTCTTGTAGAGCCGCAGTTACGGAACAAAATATAAAAAATTGGTTTAACCAAGTTCGGGATTATATGACAAAAATGAATTATTTACATATTCTTAAAGATCCCAAAAGAATATTCAATTGTGATGAAAGTGGTTTCTATTTATCCCCTCAAGAAAAACAAGTTTTGGTTAGAAAAGGTGCGAAAAAGGTATACAATCGCATAGCTAATGACGAAAAAGAATGTCTTACAGTTTTGCTAACTGTTGGAGCTGATGGTTCTGTGCCTCCGCCATTAGTTTTGTATCCCTACAAAAGGTATGTGTCAGCTGCAATAATAACGAACATGCCAAAACAGTGGGGAGTTGGGCACTCTGAATCTGGTTGGATGACAAGTGAGACATTTTATGAATACGTTACAAATGTATTTTTTCCCTGGTTGGAAAAGAACAGTATTCCACTCCCAGTGATATTGTTTCTGGATGGACACTCTTCCCACATCAATCTGCCTATTACTGAATTCTGCAAAGAAAAAGGTATCATTTTAACAGCATTTTACCCCAACGCAACTCACCGATTACAGCCGTTAGATGTTGGTATTCTTTATCCCATTAAAAATAACTGGCGAACAGATGTTCGATCTTGGCGTATGGAGAATAACGGAAGAAAACTTCAACGGGCTGAGTTTGCAAAACTCTTAGACAAAACTTTGAAGGCTACAGTCTGTACATCGATAATAAAAAGTGCATTTGAATCATGTGGACTCTTTCCGTTCAACGAAAATGGCATTGATTATTCAAAATTAATAAAACCAATAGAACAAAAAGATTCTGATGATAAAATAACTGAATCCACATCCACTACACCTGTTAATGTTTATGATTCTGAACTACTTCGAGAGGTAGAGATACGCTTAAACCCAGAAATTGTTAACAGTTTTAAGATTGCTGAATCAGCGGCCCAACTAGAAGAAAAATATGTAGCATTGTATGATTTCTGGAAGAGTCTTCATCCACAAAATGTCGATCACGATACAACTTTGGAAAACAATTTGCCGATAAATGCTGCTAACAACACCATTGCTGACATACACCTCGATGAAAACTTTTGGTTTCGCAATAATGATACAATTGAAGCTACAGTCAAAGCAGATGGAGCATTGGTCTTAATTCCTTCACAGAATAGCAATTCTTGTTCGCCAAAACCTGGTCCATCATCATCCAAGGACAATGATTCTGAGAAAATAGACTATTATTTAGCAGTAAGTTCACTCCAAGAAAAAACACCACTTAAGAACAAAGTAGTAAACAGAACTCCTTGTAATAGCCCATTAAAAGATGATTCAATAGTTCATTCTGATCAACAAAGGCAAGTACAAAATCAAGAAAAAACCCCACTTAAGCAGATTACAACATCAGAGAATAATAGTAAATATCCAACACCTTTCAAAAAAGCACTATTTTGGCCGGAAAGCTCTACAAGGAAAAAAATAGCACAGAAGACACCAACGAAAGGAAAAAACCAAAGATTTATCCTACAGTAGCTATAAGTGATGAATTTATGGAACATCAACGAAAACTCAAAAAAGAAAAAGAGGAAAAAGAAAATGAGAAATGTGAACGAATCCGAAAGAGAAAAGAAAAAACAGAGATCCAACAAGCAAAAAAGAAAAATTGTCCTCCAAAACACACACCAGGCATAGATACTGGTAATAATATTACGGAAAACATAAATAAAAAGAATATAGAAATATATTCAAAGGACGATTTTGTGTTGGTGCAGTACGACAATGAATATTTCCCTGGTGTAGTTCTGGAACGAGGCAATGATAATTTAAGAGTTAAAAGTATGACTATGAGTGGAAAGTACCTACTGGAAATGGCCAGATAGAGATGACATTTTAAATTATGACTTTGATGATGTAGTTTGTAAGATTGCGAGACCTTTGCTCATAAATAAACGCGGCGCCTATGAAGTTCCAGAAATTGAAAACCTAAAAAAATAAAGTCTTCTTTTTTATTATTTAATTCATTTGCAGACATTAAGTTCTTTTCAAAACTTTGTACTTAAATAAAACTTATATTTAAATTATCCGTTATGTGTTTTGTTGTTTTTTGGTCATTTTTTTGCAAATTTACTCAAAAATTATTCTTAAAGCGTTTTTTTGTCAAAACTAAATAAATAGGACGGATAACGGCACCCTTGTGGACGGAATTGGGAAAAAATCATTCTTGTGGACGGAAAATGGATATTTGCGAAATTTGTTGAAATGACTAGTGTTATTATTATAAATTTGGCTCTAGTAAGAATTAATAATGCATACTAGCTTATAGACATGTATTACTTTAAATTTCAATGATTCGGAATTGATCTTTCAAACAATTTTATACATACCACTTATAACCGGTCGGAATTCGGTGCTCTTACGTTATTAGGAATTATACTTAGTACATAAAATCCACATCTAAATATGGGGTCACATAGGCCAAAACAGATTTAAACCATAAATTTGTCCCACCAGACCAGCGGTTATGCTCTAAGATTAACCGGTTCAGGTTCCGGTTAACCGGAAGGTTAAACTCATTTTCTACTAAAATACCTCCCTCTATATCTACTATCGCAGATGCTAACATTCGTTGTGTTCTATTTCTTTTACTCTCAGCCGCTTTAAATAGGTATCGGTAGTCACTAAAATTCACTATCTACATAAACTCCTCCCTCACACTTTCCTTATCAATTGGGAAAAATCGTCATCAAATGTATCTACATATTTTTCCAATCTACCCACCATCTGCTTACACATCTTAGATTCGGTTCGCTCACAATCACTACATCTCCCTAGTAACTTAAGTAAAGGTGCTTTGGCAATATAAAAACACTACATGTACCTATTAAAGTAAAATTAGAATTAAAATAATTAAACATGTATTAATTAAAAACTCGGTCGGTCAGATAGCTCAGCGGGCTGTGCGGCTGCCTCTCATTCGCTTCACTGTCGAATGGTTCAGTGGATGTGGGTCGAGCCCCAGCTCGGTGTACGGAAAACAAAAAGTCTAACGCAGAAGTTTAAAATTCTAGATGAATCTGCGGCTTAGACTAGGATATGCTGGGATCTGATCGGCCTATGGTGGAGCAGTACGGCAAGAGATAAGGGCTTGCGGCTTGGTGATACTCCTCCATAGATCCCTACCGGACGGGCGTAACGCCTAAAAAACCGGATATATATATATATATATATATATATATATATATATATATATATATATATATATATATATATATATATATATATATATATATATATATATATATATATATATATATATATATATATATATATATATATATATATATATATATATAAAATTAAAAACTGAACATAAATTAAAACATAATCATTTAGACCAGATATTGTTGTGTAAAGTAGTTAACGAAGTTAGTATTATTGCCTAGGGGTTCATGTTAGTTATAGACCGTCGGATTTCAATACGAAGTTCGACCACGATATGATTCCTTATGCTTCTTTGCTCACTAAAAATGTAATGTGAGATAAGCAAAAAAATATAAATTTAGAGTTGAGCCATTTATACCTTTTTTGCAAGTTCGTTATGGTGACAATTAACAAACTTTCAATTGGAATGAAGGAGAAAATTATGGATATTGACTTAAAAACATTACATGTTTAACTTTTCCAAAAGAAAATTTAATTTTCATGAAAAGTTTTCCAAGAAACCACAGTTTTCACATTGATTTCATTTTCCATTTACATTTTCAGAAATATAGATGCTATGCCAAAGGGGACAAAGTCAAAAATTTAACTATTTTAATGTAAAAGAAGACTACTGGAATGCGCATGTGCGCATATAATGAAGTTTGTTACAGATCTGTCAAATATAAATTTTGTTGGTTCAATTTCGTTTTTATAAAAAATACTCTTTGTAGATTTCGTAGATGATTTAAAAAAACATATTCATATTTGTAAAGATGGTGAAATTAACAGCAGAAATAATTCAAAACTCCATGCAATACATAAATCCAGTAAAAGATAGAGAACTGGATTTGAGAGGTAAGTTATTCATTTTAAGGTTAACTTTTTCCACATTTATTTGCGTTTTAGGCTACCGGATACCTGAAATTGAAAACCTAGGAGCTACAGGAGATCAGTTTGATACAATTGATTTTTCAGAAAATGATGTCAGAAAATTAGATGGATTTCCTTATTTACCTCGGATAAAATGTTTACTGATGAATAATAATCGCATAGTGTATGTAGTAGATCTTAAAATTGTAAATTATATATTTAAATAATGTGTTCATGTTCTAGACGTATCGGAGAACAGTTAGAAGAATATATTCCCAATTTAGAAACCCTTGTCTTGACTGGAAATTATTTAGCTGAGCTCAGTGATATTGATCCGTTAGTTCCTTTAGAAAAACTCAGTACCTTAAGTTTAATGTATAATCCTATTACCGCAAAACAGCATTATAGATTATACTTGATATATAAGTTACCCCAGCTAAAATTGCTTGACTTCCGTAAAATTAAGATGAAAGAGAGAGAAGAGGCAGAAAGATTATTCAAGAGCAAAAAAGGAAAGGATATACAGAAAGAAATTGTAAAGAGAGCCAAGACATTTGTACCTGGTGGTAACTCAAATAGTATTGCAAAGAGTAGAGGTAAGTTAGTTCAAATAGTAAGAAAAAGTATTACAACAATAAATACATTTACACTCTTTGGAAATATTCTTGACATTGTTTTTCCTATTATGATTAAAAGATAACACTATATTTTTAATGTAGTTTCAACTAAAAATCAATATTATTGTAGGACATAAGTATCTATTTTTCTTTGAAAATTTCCCTACTTTCAGTAGGGAAAAATTTCTCTTAATTAGAAAAATATGCTCAATATATAAAGTACTAAGTTATATAGAAGCTACATAAATCAAAAAGATTCCTTATAATTAAAGATTCAGTCAATTTTGTAAAACTGACATTCATATATTATCTACATGTACATTTCCATATTCTATTGAAAATCCCAGCAATGGGAAAACAGCACAGTTCTTTTTATAGATTTCATTTTATGCAATGTACAAAAGGAAACAAAGTAACTGTTATATTACACTAGATTTTTTTTTATTTATTTAAAGAGACAAAGTCGCATCCACCCAAAGGTTATTAGCGACATTCCTGTAACATTTGTAATAATATTAAATTTAACATTTATAACAATCAATCATTTGCAACAATTAATTACAATTTGTGAACAATTGAACATTTGTAGCAATTAAAGTTAAATTTTGTGTAACATATGTATACATTTTAAGTAACCTAACCTAATAAATTGTTCGGAACTAAACTTTTGTTGAGGAGTGCTTTCAGGTTATTTGGCAAATTGTAAATGTGTCTTTTTTTTACATATTTAGGACAGTCTATCAAGAAGTGCTTTATACTGGCTACTGTATTGCATGTTTCGTATTTTGGTTCATTATTTGAGAAGAGATAGGCGTGAGTATACCTACAGTGTTCAAGTTATAGACTTGTAATAATAGTTTGGCATCGTCTACTTCTGGCTGTGGACTTCCATGAAAAAATGTCACTTTTGATGGTTCTGAATTTTGAAGTAGAGCCATTCCACTCCCGATTCCACGCAATTAACACCTGATTTTTTAAATAAACTTTTAGATCGCCTGTGACACTCCGACACTCTGTTTCTGGTGCGTCACAGGTGATAGCGTTACACACACTATTATAGTTTCCTGTCAACATATTACATCAGGAGATTGTTCACCGATTAGATGGAGCATAGCAAGGTGATGGAAAAATCCATCGATATTCCACTGAAGTAGAGACTTGAAGTTTAATGTTAGCTTAATTGAGATGTGTCACTTTCCACGTCCGATGCCTTATTGTCAAGATAATTATGGATTTTTTCCCTTATGGATGTGAATTTACATTTTAGGGATCTTTTCTTTAAATGGGGGTAAACTTGTCTGAGCATAAGGGACAAAGCTATTAGGTCTGTGGTATATTCTTGAATTGTGTTGATCCCGTGATATTCATTAGGAGCATGTTAAGTTGACCAAAGTTTGGAGGGAAAGGTAGAGGGTGATTTTCTATGAAGTTTTTAGCAGGGTCAAGTAAGAGAGAAAGTGAGCATTTAGAGGTGCTTGCTGAACTAATTTTAGCTTTTTTAGATTTTGCTTGGACTTTAGGTGGTGGAAAAATGTTACATCCTTTTGAAGATGGATCTGCTTCAGGTGAAATAATTTCATCAAAGTTATTGGTGTATCTACTTTGTTAGGTATCTCCGGGATATTAGAAATAGACATTTGTTCACACTGAGATGGGTTTTGTGTCATTGGGTGCTTGCAAGGATATATTTGATGCGCTGGATACTGATGCTTCATTGTTTTGGTTGGGGTTCAGTTGAGTTAGTGGTTCGGAGCACTTTGAAGCAATGTGACCTGGCTTCTTGCATCTAAAGCAAACTAAACTGTCTTGAGAAATGAATATTCTATATACTGTGTTGTTAAAAACAAGAGTAAATGACTCTGGTAGTGTTAGACTGTGAGGACTGATGTAGATTTGTCTTCGAAAATTAAGGATATGATTGTACTCAGGCATAGAAGCACTAATTTTGATGAATGTTATGGGGGAGACAGGAACTATGCCGATTTTTTGTTACTCATTGATTAGCAAGTCGTGCGGTATTGAAGGACATATGATGGAGAGCACAAGTTGTTCTGCTGGTGTAACTAACCTTCTTGCTCTGACAATTTCACCTTGTCATGTTGTCTTGTATTTGACCATGATTCATAAAATCATCCACTATTTGTTTATTGGATAAATACATACATATGCGATTATTAGATAATTTAAAAGAGAAGATTATATTTTTCAGTTGAATTATATTTCCAAGTGGGAGAAGATAATCTTGAAGTTTGGTATTTTCTGAGGCACTAAAGATAATTGCTTGGGACTTTAAAGGAAATTGCACTCTCGACGCTGCCAAAGAGTATGACTGTGATGCGTTTATTTGACTTTGATAGTCTTGTATTGTAAAACTGTTGTGTGATTCCATGTTTGAATTCATTTTGATAAACATTAAGTGAAAAGTAAGTCCGACTCTCTACACTTGCTAAAACAGCTATATCATTCTTTACTAAAAGCAGTTATTTTGCTGGTAAAATTGGATTTGTTTATTGACAACAATAACAAATAATTGCAATTTGCTGACTTTAATGCTAATTTAACTGGATATTATGTAAAGAGTTTGTACACCTGCAGTTTATTTCAATATATCACTGAGATTCACAATTTTTAACTTACATTAAACTTTGTTATTGTTAAAAATATTAGGAGCCCATATTGAATACAACATTATCACACTAGATTTTTTGTTCATTTAGGTATATTGCTAATGGAGCTTTATTTTTCTCATTCATTATAAAAAGAGATTAGATCTCTCTAAGTATGTAACATTTTAAAAATAATCCTCAAATTTAGAGCTCTAGAAAGAATTGTTTCAGAATAAAATCTGAAGTATTTGAAAACTTACCTTATTTTTTTTTTAATTTTTAATAAACATTTGAATGTGTTGCACAAAGCCTCTTCTAAGCTATAACTTAATATTAAACCTTCTTTCCTGAATTAATTATAAAATATATTCTGAGTTTCAAAATTTTCTTTTTTTATAAGTTTTAAAAACAGCCGTTCATTTGTCTAGTAGTCACAAAGAAATAAAATATGTTACTGCAAATCAAAATAAAGTGTAAAACATGTTTTTAAATAACTAAAATGCTTTTTATAATTATGTACTTACTATATACTGTGTTAAAGTGTTTATATGCCATTCTATATAAGGTGAATTACAGAAATTTGTTTGTGGAAGATTAAGAGTTAAAGAAATGAATACTTATACAATAATATTTTGGCTTTTAAGTCATAAGTGACAACATTACATACATACTCATTATTGAGAGTAAGAAACAACAGTAGATCAATATTTCTATAAGGTAGAGAGAGAAAACCATTGCTTACTTATTATTCAGCAGCATAGCTTAAAAGTTTTGAGGTCAATCTTAATAATAATTTTGATATATTATGATATTAGACTTATTCCATTCAGTATCTAATACAATTGATCCATTATATTGATTCTACTATGTATGTAGCAAGCAATAATTTTACTCTATCTATTTTAAAAGTAAAGTTTTAATCATTTGTTGTGTTAGCAATTAATTTTGTTATCTACATTTTTACACATTTGTTTTTAACTCTGTACCGTGGATAAATTTTATATGTGTTCACCTAGATGCCTTAAACAGTCCGTAGGCATGAATCTGTATTTATGCTCTGTTATTAGGACTCTTTTCTATAAATATGTTACTGTAGTTGTTATATGTTTGAGTTAATATCCCACTTATAACTGATTATATGACTAACAGTATGTGCCAAAAAAATGTCACTTAAAAAATGATTCCTCAAATTTTTTGCCAATTGACACAATGATTCAGTTTCATCTGGCCAAAATGTTAATAAAAATATTCTTAAGTAGTGACTAATTTTACATTTTATACATTAAGTATATAAGCAAATATTTTATTTAGGACTGACTGATGATGAAATCAAAAAGATCAGGGAAGCGATCAACAAAGCAAATTCATTGCAAGAAGTTGAAAGGTTGCAGAAAATATTACAATCAGGACAGATACCTGGAAATGAATTTGTTTCAAATTCTCGTAAGTAGATCTTTTTATATTCTCCATTTAGTTATAGTGTTATATTTTAGTTTTATCTATTTGTTTGAAATTATAGCTTAACTTTAATATGTAGTTTCAATTAAATTTGGTTTTAAAGAATAAAAAAAAACTGAAAGGGAGCAATAAAGCATGTTATACCTATATAATATATCAATAATGTGATAAAAGAAAAAGTCACAAGACTCAAACAACCAGTAACCTAGATACATATAAACAACAAGAAGATTGATAGCCATGAATCCACCATGTGTATCTACTTCAATATGAATATTGAAATTTACATACAAATGAATACATCTAAATTATGGATGTATTTATTTTATATATTATATTAAATACCCCTGACGATTGGAATATTGGATACATCAGCTCAATATTCAAGAAAGAGGATAAACGCAAATGCTCTAATTATAGGGGAATAACTGTTACCAGCTCAGTGGGGAGGTTGTACGGTCGAATAATAAAAGAAAGAATAGAATCAGAATACAAAGACATAGAAGAACAAAATGGATTTCGTGCAGGAAGATTGTGCACAGAAGGTAATCGAAAAACGGAAGGCAAGGAATCTATCTACCCACCTACTGTTTGTAGATTTAGAGAAGGCATATGATACAGTACCTTTGAAAAAACTGTTTTAAACATTGACGAAAGTAGGTCTCAATAGAGAGTATGTGAATGCTATTGCAAATATATACAAAACTGCAAAAAGTGTCGTTAAAGAAGGAAACTTTATATCTGAATCATTTCCAATATCAAAGGGGCTTATTTAAAATATATATTCAATCATCGCTAGAGCAGTGGAGGAAACAAGTATCTGGAATGGGAATAGACATAGGTGATAGTAAATGTCTAACAACTTTATTTTTCGCAGATGATCAGGTAGTCATAGCGAATGATGAGGAAGACATGGACTACATGTTTAGAAAACTAAAGAAAGAATATGAAAAATGGTTCCTCAATATGTATATGTCAAAGACAGAGTATCTTAAAATGGGAGATGTCGAAGAAGATCAAGAGTTAGAAATTAGAAACACAAAAACATGCAATGAATATAAATATCTCGGATCTATAATATTATTGAACTACCAAAAGAGACATCGAAAACAGGACGCAGCAGGCAAAAAAGCGGTTAACATTCTGAACTCTCTACTATGGTCTAAAGATATTAGACAAGAAACAAAATTGACAATCTATCAAACCCTGGTAGAGGCTATTATGACTTATGGGGCAGAAGTTTGGCAGATCACGAAAAAAGATAGAGAAAGAATAGAAGTAATAGAAATGGATTTTCTAAGGAGAGCGTGTGGTGTATCCAAAAAAGATCATATCAGGAATGAAGATATTAGACGGAGGACAAATACTGTATATTCCAGTGTAGACAGAATTGAAACGAGACAACTAGTGTGGTATGGTCACACATAGATGGCCAAAGAAAGCTTTAAATTACATACCACAACAAAGAAGAAGAAGGGGAAGACCATCAGTTGCCTTGGAAGAAAATGTACGACACCTAATGAGAGATAGAGCCATCAAAGAAGACGAATGGATGGACAGAGAACGATGGCAGCCGAAATGCGAGAAGCTGCAGAGGCTGTAGGAACCTCGCTTATATATATTTGTTTTATATTTTAACAGTGGTTGTCTAATTTAAACTATTTTAAACAATGTGGAGATATATATTAACCTAATGCAAAATGTAGACAACTTTTACAAAAATTTAAATAAAAGCTCAGAAAGCGCAAAAAATACATAAAACATAGGTCTGTATAATGAAGAAATTTATGAAATAGTTTCTGTATTACAGAGCAATAGGAACACTGTTTGGTGGTGATAGAGATTGAGAGATTTGAGAGATGCTCAGGCATCAGGGCATGTCTGGGAGAGGTGTTGATATTAAAATGATCAAAAATACTTATATATAACTGTAATTAGTGAAGAAGACTTCACGTACAGATAAAGCCAAGGACAACAATGAGCCTTTAAACATTATTGTGATTATTGTTAAGCTGTAAAAGTTGGAAGTATTCGCATTGGAAAGTTCTTTTAAGGAAAACAGAAAATGTAATCAAACATATCAAATTTATACTTTCCTTTGAGGAGAAATATGGAAAACTTTTAGAAACTTGAAACCTATACAGAAGTAAGCGTTTCAGAAAATTAAATACAATGAATATTTTAATCAGAATTATAAATAGATAGAAAAAACAGAAAAAAATCGATTTACCAAAAATCTGTGCATCATAGAAAAAAATATGGCTTGAAGTGAAACGGCTACGTGCGCCAAAATCAATTTTAAATAAAATTTGTATCAATTCGTCGGTAAAAATTCGATATATTTTGATCACAGTGTCCTATCGACAAAAATAAAAAGAGTTTTAGTTGAAAAGTGCAGCTTTCTTATGCAATTTTTGCATTTTGCCGCAATTATAGTCAGTTTCTATAAACGTGTTAAATAAATAAACATTGAGCGATTTTTGCCATTTTTCCTGTTCTCGTAACATCATTAAAATTTATCACTTTTCCATTAAGCGGTCACTATGGAATTTCTATTGTTAAAGCCTGATCTTGTGTGTGTCTGAAATGTGTGTTAATACTACAGTGGCCATTTTTAGAACTAACTAACATCATATGAATTTTACTGTACAAATAAGAATGAAAACAAATATAATCCTACTTACTTCATTATTGCCATCATCTGTCCCATTACTGTTTGACTCATCGTCCAGTTCAAAATTGTTGTCATCCTCACTAAAATATTGTTCATTATCACTCAATTCTTTCAAGATTTGTAATAGTTCATGAGTTAATTTTTGTTTTTTTATTTCTTCTGCTTTAAGTGCCGTATCCAAATCGGAGGTTGGATATCGTCATAACTATCCTTACTCTATCTACTGCTGCTCTGAAGAGTTCTATAGAACTGCATTTAAACCAGTCCCTTAAATTATTCATCCACGACACTCTCCTTCTTCCTATACTCTTGTCTTTCCCTGTATTATCAGCCTTAGCAGTTCATATCGCTGTCCCCTCATTATGTGTCCCGGATATTGTAACTTTTTTTATTTTTATTGTGTTTATTATTTCGCATTATTTGCCCATTTTTCGCAATACTTCCGTGTTAGTTTTCTTCTGTGTTCATGCTATTCTAAGCGCCCTTCTGCTGTAACACCGCATTTCAAAGGAATGTAACTTATTTATGTGTTCTTGCTTCAATGTCCAGCGTTCAAGTCCATATTGCAGTATCGAAAATACGTAGCATCTCAGTGCTCTTACTCTCAGTTCTAATCTAAGGTCTTTATTGCAGAAAATTGTTTTTATTCTTACAAACGCATTTCTTGTTACATATATCCTTTCTCTTATTTCGGTTGTTTGATTATTATTGTCTGAAATACAGGTTCCTATATACAGTGCGTTAAGTTTTGGATTAGGTATACACTCTATAAATGGCAACACTGCGCGTCTTCGACCTGCACTACATATCTGCTTCGTTGATTCGTCGTTGCACGTCGCCGGTCGGCAAATTTGTCATATTGTCATTATACCGTGGTTGTTTAAAGGTATAACAGCGTAGAGTTTTAATTTATTTTTGTAAACATGTCTGTTTATATGGCCGCGGAAAAAGCTCAAATAATAAAATGGTTTTATAGTGGCAATTCTGCGCAACAGTGTGTAGATTTATTTTTTGTGTTTTTTGAGGGAAGACCAATTCCTTGTGTACAGTCAATTTATAATATTGTTAAAAATTTTGAGAGTTGTTATTGCCCCAAAAATTGCAGAAAATGTCACCGCTCGAGAAGTGTTACCAGAAAAAGTTGAGGAAAGAGAATACCGGGATACACAAATTTGTGCAACAATCGAGGTAGATTCAACACGTTCAAGTAGAAGCGTTGCTAGAGAGTTAGATGTTAGCAATGTTACTGTAACGAAAGTATGGAAAAAGCACGGTTACAAGAATTTTAAATATTCGAAAACGGAGCAGCTTTAACCAGACGATTACTTTCGAAGAATGGAGTTTTGTGAAACTCTAATAACGAAGGCTAATAGTGAACCAAATTTTATTAAAAACATTTTATTCACTGATGAATCTTCTGTTTCGTTAGTAGGGAGACACAATCCTTCCATTACGAGGTATTGGGCGCAGGAAAACGTCCTCAAAAAGTAAACGTCTGGACTGGCATTTTAGGAGACCACATAATAGGTCCATTTTTTATTGAGGGCAACTTGAATAGTAGAGTATACCTCGATTTGTTACAGAATCATGTTCTTCCCGCTATTCTCAATCTTCCTGATGTAAATCTGGAGAATGTTTGGTTTCATCAAGACGGCTGTTCAGTTCACAACGCTCGAATTATTAGGGAGTATTTAAACAATACTTTCCCGAATCGAGTTATCAGTGGAACAGGCGATATTAAGTGGCCTGCGCGATCTCCAGATCTTACACCCATGGACTTCTTTTTTTGGGGACATTTACAAAGCATTATCTACGCTCATCCTGAGGCTAGAGCCCAAAATTTGGATGAATTAAAAAATCGAATAAGAGAAGTCTTCAATTCTGTTACAGCAGAAACTCTTTCATCTGTTCTCAGAAGTTTTTATGACAGATTGGGGTACTGTTCAGCCGTAGAAGGTCAACTATTTGAACCATTTCTCCATTTCTGTAGGTCATAAAGAATTATTTTTTATTTTATTAGGAATAATATTTTAATTTTCAATAAGAGTATATTTTTTATTTTATCTTTTTAAAGAAATACGCTTTTATTTTTAATTCAACCACAAAAAAATTTTCACCTTAATAACAATGCACCGATTAGTTCAGTGCATTTTTATCGAATTTCCTACTATTAAAATCGGCTTTCCGTAATGAAACATGAGATCGGACGACAGAGAAGTACATCCCTAACGTTGTTGTGAGTTACTAAACTAAAATAAATGATTTTCTGTCGGTTTAGATTTGCCGGGTCGGAGAACGAACATTTGCAACGTTGCCGATTTTAGCGCTCCGTATAGTGTGCAATACCTAATCAAAAACTTAACGCACTGTATTTGTATTTATCAACCCTTTCTATCGGTACATTTCCCAAATGTATGTTTGTTGGTATATTTGTTTTCTTTGTTATTATCATGTATTTGGTCTTTTTTATATTCATTTCTAGTCCATATTTTTCACAGAAACTGTTTATTTTGTTTAGCAGTAATTGGAGTTGTTCAGCAGAGCTTGCCATAATCACGGTGTCATCTGCATTCTTATGTTGTTAATAGATCTTCCGTTAATTATTATTCCTTCACTTTGAGATAGTAATGCTTTTTTAAAAAATGGCTTCACTATATACATTCAATTGTAATGTGGACGTAATACATCCCTGCCTAACTCCTCTCCTGATTTTAATTTCTGCACTGGGCTCATTATCTATTACGATGTGTGCTCTTTGATTCCATTAGAGGTTTGTTATTAGTCGTAAGTCCCCTATGGTCTATGTTTTTTGTCTTTAGAATTTTGACTAATTTTTCATGTCTTACTTTGTCAAAATCAACGTAACAAACATGCACTTCAACATTCATATTCATGCATCTATGAGCTAACACATTAAAAGCAAATAACGCTCCTCTGGTTCCTAGTCCGTTTCTGAACCCAAACTGACTATCATCTATTCCTTCTTCCAGTTTTTTATTTATACGACCATGTATTATTTTCAAGAATAATTTGGAACTTTGGAAATTTAGAAATGTTGACTTATTAGTGATATTGTTCTGTATTCACTGCAATATTTAGCGTTTGTATTTTTAGGGATAGCACAAAAGGTGGAGACTAACCATTGTTTCGGTATGTGTCCTGTTTTGTATACTGAGTTAAATAAGTCTACTATAATGTCTAAGGATCATTTATGCATTTTAAGCTTTCTATATGGATTTGGTCTGGACCTACGGCTTAACCAGTTTTGCTGTTTTTAATGCGATTTTAATTTTCTCTTAATATTTTTAAACCATATCCTCTTCTACTTCTATCTCCATCTGCTCTATTCTATTGTATTTGAACGGTTCATTGACGTATTCTGTCCACCTCTTTAATTTGCCGTTAGTATTCAACACAAGTTTCTCATTCACATATTTCAGTATTCCCGGTTTTCTTATTCTATTCTTGTGAGTTAATTCTATAATTTTTTTATGTGTGTTAAAACTATCATGTCTTTTCTGGTATTTTTTGTACATCTGATTATCTTTGTTTTTATATTGACATCTTTCTTCCATGAAATCTAAAATTTCTTCCGTCATCCATTGCTTCTGTTTATATCTGGTTGGTATTAGAATTTATTTTTGACTTTTATCTATTTCTGTCTTTATTTATAACCAGTTTTTATCCGTCTTAGTATTTTGCAGAATTTGTTCTTTTCTATGCATTGTTCTTTTAACCATTATTCTTTCGCTTTCTTAATTCTGTATTTTATTTGTTTATCCACTTTTTTGTACATCTGATTATCTTTGTTTTTATATTGACATCTTTCTTCCATGAAATCTAAAATTTCTTCCATCATCCATTGCTTCTGTGTATATCTGGTTGGTATTAGAATTTATTTTTGACTTTTATCTATTTCTGTCTTTATTTATAACCAGTTTTTATCCGTCTTAGTATTTTGCAGAATTTGTTCTTTAACATTTATTAATCCGTTGTTGATTCCATCTACCAGGCGTTGCCTTATGAGTGGGTTCCTTAATTTACTTGTATCGATTTTTGCATTTGTTGTTTTTCGTTTTATTATTTTCATTTTGAGCCTAATTTTGGTCACTACTGTGTTGGTGATTATATTAGAGTGGACTGTATATTTTATTCACTTTATTGTATGGTTGAATTAACATTATTACAAAGGTATTAACATTAACAACTGTATTCGCCCTTTTCTTCGCATCGTCCTCTTATGTCGTCTTCTTCATGCGCTGTCAGTCCCTCGAGGCAGCGACCTCTGGTCGAGTCGGCGTTGCACCATACAGGACCGTACTGGTTCTGAACAACTGGGTTGTGATCTGATCCTATGTCGGCACTTGGACAGGGTTTTGCTGATATAATTGCGTTCCTGTATCTTTGTCTAACCAATACATAGTCTATTTGGTTTCTTACAATTCTCTCTTCTTGATCTGCTGGTGACTTCCAGGTATATAGTCTTCTCTTTGGCATTTTGAACAATATATTAGCTATAACAAAATTATTGTTTTGCCAAAATTGGATAAGCCTGTCACCCCTTTCGTTTCTGTTGCCCAGACCATATCCTCCTGTACATTCTTCTACTTTCAGTTCTGAACCTTTGCGTTAAAGTCTCCCATTAATTGTTACATCTTGTGTTTTAATGGATTTTAAAATGTTGTCTAGGACTTCGTAGAAAGTTTCAATATCGCTCTCTGGTTTGTCCGCAGTTGGAGCATAAACTTGTAGGATGTTTACTTTGGGTTTGTTCTGGTTTAATTGTAAGAGTATAATTCTGTTGGAGTATGGAGTGAAATTTATTACAGCTTCATCAATATTTTTGTTTAATATTATCCACCATATCTGTGTGAACCGTCTTGACTTCCTGAATAATATATTGTTTTATTGTTGATTTTTTTATTTATACACACCAATTTATGTTTTTTAATGCCCAATGACCCAGTCCACATTAGTCTACCCTCGAAAAACAAAATCCCAAACGAACAAACTTTTCCCGATATGTTCGCTACACGCTCGTCAACATACCTTAAACTAGCGCTCACTTACTACTAGACGCTCGTCAACATACCTTAAACTAGCGCTCACTTACTACTAGCCATAGAAGTGAGAATGTGCATGTGTCACGGATCCGTGTCGCACGCACTGTCTGAAAGCGGATCCGTGCCATGTGCATTCAACGTGTTAATGCATATTAGGTTAGTTGTTGTTATTATTATTATTAGGTCAAACATCCATATTTTGATCCACATAACTTGGCCCTAGTCCATGTTTCAATAGTTATGACTTTCCCTTTACATTGTTTTAATCAATTTTGACTCAGCTGATCTATGTTACTAAAATGCAATTGATTTGAGTAATTTTATATTTTTTTAGGTCAAACCAACGGAACAACAATGGATTATGATTGAAAAATAAAAGGTATCAATTTCAGAATAATTTATCTTTCAGATTTGGATTGTGTCATTTGTGATCCTTAAAAATAAGTTATGATTATAAACGATAATATATTCTCTTTCACCTGGAAAATTTTATAACATACAACAGTGTTAGCCATGTCTCAAACTGAATTTATTGAATAGTTTTGGAATAACAATAAAACAATGAAAACTTTGTTTTCAAAACTTCTACAAAATTTATTATATCTTATCACTACAGCTGTTTCGGTCAGACTTAGAAAGGCACGCTGCCGAAACAGCTGTAGTAATGAGATATAATAAATTTTGTGGAAAGTGTTTTACTGTTATTTAAAATGAATTTCATAGCTTTTACTTTCGCGATTGATGTTTTAAAATAATACATTATTTTTAGGTCTTATAAGCTGTGCTTTGGAATTATTTCATCCTGGCGTATCATTTGAGATTGCGGCAAATGTCGGAGCTAACTGTTAGCATCAGTCAGGAAAACAGCTCCTATGATTGCTGTATCGCCTTTGATGATGTATGTCACAATTACTGGCAAAACATCAGGAAGAAATAATTTCACACCACTTTGTATAAGGCAGCAAACAGTGTATCTATACAATTTATTAAGTTCTTGAAACAAACATGCATAAGTATTTTTCCAGTTGATTGATTTTCTCTTTGGTTTCACAAATAAAACTTAAAATAAGATAAGTTACATGGTCCAAATTCAGAAGATAAATCACGGAGATGTTTGGTAAAGTATTTTTAAAAAATTAATGTTAGTTTAACTTCTAATTCATTCTCTTAATTTAATTGTATTTTTGTGATTAGTTGATAAGAACATGATATATGACACAATAAATTTTTGTACAAAGGTTGAAAAGCGATATTTTTACTACTACCATAAAATTTTAATCATATTGAATCTAATACGTGAAAAACTTTTATAATAAAAATAAATAAATAAATATCACGGTTTTGCTATCGACAGCAACTCTCTTTAATGACTTGTTTGTATTTCCTATCTTAATATATTCGTTATATAGTCTCCTTTCATTTAACACATCACACGCTCCAATAGGCCCAATAACAACGAAGATATGATGTAAAATCCTTTTGGCACCATGCTTGTTTTTATGTCTTAGTCTTCTGTCTGAACATATTCACTATCCCATCCCCTTTCCAACAACCTGTTCACGTACTGGCGGTACCAACGTATCAAAGGATGTCGCCGATGAGAAAGTCCCACGGTCCAAGAAATTTACCCAGGCCAAAGTGTCCTCGCTGTACTCTGGTGTCATACTATACACTTAAACCAACTCGAAAGGTTGTGTTTTTTAAGCACATGTCCCGATGAGGTATCAATATTACGTATATACCACGGAATATTAACGATATTAGCTTTTGTTTGTAAAATCTTTAGATGGCACATACATTACTAGCTTTAGCCTAGCTTCAGAATTCTTCTTGACTAGCCTTACCAGTCGGGGTGAGACTTCGCCGCATGCACTATAGTCCTCCATATTCTACTATCTTGCGCTTCAATTACCCATTGTTTTACACCAATCCCAGGTTTTTTCCTATATTTGTCGGATCATAAATATTTGATCTATTGTTAACCTTCCAGCACGACAGTCACATTGGTAGTCGCCTAGAATATCTTCCGAATACGGGAGTGAGCCTCTTTATCAAGATAATTGGTAAACACGGTTTCATCGTTCTTGGCGTGTGCCTGAAATAAGCTACTACGGAATTTTTAATATTCGTCTCTCTCTGATACACAGATGCGTAATTCAATTCGTTCGTCATAACCACGTTCGTCATGGTAAAGTGCGATGAGAAGGGAATGAAGAGACCACTCACGTCTCCCAGTATTGTAGCAATAACGAATTACGAATACAGATAACTGCCACTGGAGGAGGTAAACGAATCGAGCTTAGACAAGGAAAGACAGATGAAACATTTTATTGCAAGTGTTTTTACACGCACACGCCAAGAAAGATGAATAGGTCTATATAACTTTATATTCTATGCTAATAAGAGATATACCTTTATAGTTTCGAAATTGTTTTTCATCTTCCTTCTTATGTATGTTTATTATAACGCTTCCATTCCATTCCCTAGGCATTTTCTGTTGTTGCCATACTCTCAGAATAATGTCATACTCTTTTTGATGTAAAACGATTCCTCCGTTTTTTATCAATTCTCCATTACTACCATCATTGCCTTTCGCTTTGTGATATTTAGAAGATGCAATCGTATTCTTTACTTCTTGACGTGTTGATGCTGTTATTTACACATTTACAGAATATAATATCTGCTTCCTCCATCTCACTTTCAATATTTAGTAAATTCCGAAAGTATTAATTCCGTCATTTGACGATTTGTTTCTATTATGATTAGTTTATCTGTTTCATTTCTCATAGCTTATGTTACCCCAACAGTTCCATCTTGTCTGACTGTCTTCATTTCCCTAAAGAATTTCCTTACTTGACCTCGGAGTTGACTACCATATTCCCACACTGGTCTTAGTATTTGTTTATAGAATAGTAATATATAATAATGTACTACTACTACTAAGGATTTCCACAGTTTTCACTGTCTTCCTTCACTCAACCGTTTTCTCCAATTTTCCCTGTCATTCTAGTCTCCATCGCAGGGTTCTTTTCTCCATAGCCTCGTCGATTTCGTCTCTGAATGACCTTCGGGGTCTTCCTCTCTTTCTTTTTCCGATCGGGCTCCATTCTGTGATTTTGTTTATCCAGCGTCCTCTGTCCTCTCTTCTGACGTGGCCGTACCAGGATAGTCTCTTCTCCTCTATATAGTCGATTATGTCTGATTGCACTCCCATTCTCCACTTAATCTCTGCGTTTTAAATTCTGTCTCTTTTTGTAAGTCTACAGCTTCTCCTCAGGAACTCCATTTCTACTGCTCTTATTCTACCTCTATTTCTCTTGTTTATTGTCCAGTTTTCGGACCCATATGTCAGGATACTTCTTGTCAGGCTATTATATATTCTCTTTTTTGTCTTTATCGTAATGTTCTCATCCCACAGCACTGAATTCAGTTGTCTTATACAGTTTCTTGTTTGTCTTAGTCTGTTATTTATATCTTCTTCTGTTGTTCCCTGGTTCGATATTATGGTTCCTAAAGACTTGAATTTATCTGTTCCATTTACTTGTCTTCCCTCGTCTATCTCTAGGTTTCTCATATCCTTGTTTTCTGTTGTTAGGTATTCGGTTTTCTCTAAGTTTATTTCCATTCCGTTGTTTTTATATTCTTCTTCTAGTTTTCTGAGCATAAAGCTGAGATCTTCTTCATCTTATGCGATGACTACTTGATCGTCGGCAAACTTAAGGTGTATAGGTATTCGTCTCTTACTGGTAGGCCCATTCCTTCGCACTTTCTCCTCCATGGTTGAGTTTCTTTTCCAAGAATATTTTAAACAGAGTAGGGGACGTAGCACAGCCTTGTAGAAGTCCTTTTGTCGTCTTAAATGGATTGTAGGCTTTATTTCCACATTTAATAGCTACTTTGTTTTCTTTGTACAGTGCTTTAACTGCTTTTATTAGTGTTTGTCGGATTCCGAGATCATTCATTGCTTCCCATAATTTAACTCTAGGTATTCAGTCATATGCTTTCTTTAGATCAACAAACGCTAGATGGACCGGTCTACCTATTGCCATTTTCTTCTCTTTCAGTTGTTCTAATGTGTACGTATGATCTAGGCATGATTTTCCTACTGTGAACTCTGCTTGGTCTCCTCCAATTTTTCCTATTATTTCAGTTTCTAGTATTTCCTTGATAATTTTCCCGTAAAGTCTACCTACCGACGATATTATACTAATTCCTCTGTAGTTTTCACATTTTTTCCTGTTTCCTTTCTTATGTATGGATGTGATGTATGCTTGTGTCCATTCCGCAGGTATTTCCTCTCCATTTAGTCCTCTTTCGAACATTCTGTGCAGCATGCGGAATAACTTTTCCGTTCCGTTTTTAATTAGTTCGTTTGGTATCACTCCGGGTCCTTTGGCTTTTTTGTGAAAGATATTATAGTGGTATTATAATCTACCATCTTGAATTTCTCCCAATCATCCAAAACATTTTTTGTGTTTAATACCAAGTTTATCTCTTTGCTTTTTAATGTGGACTTTCCAACGTATTCTTGCGTCCATGGTGATGCTCCAATACTTTGCTGGAGTTTCTTATAGAACTTAGTATAATTTCTGTTAAAATCCTTTATAAAAGGTATATAAAAATGCCTCAAACGGGCTATCACAAACACATTGCAAAACGTTTTCAGATTAAACAATCCATCATCAGTGCAAACGGTTGTACATGCTAGTAGCCACCAAAATATATGGGTAAAAACCCTTTAAATGTTATAAATTTGAAATTGTTTTACATTATTAGTATTTCTAATTTGTGATGGTTAAGTTACCGTTGGATAGGTAACATGGCGGCGTATGACTCTACATGAGTAAAATGGTCCTGAGACGAAGTGCCTACGAGGACCTGTTGATAACAACTGTATTACTCATGTAGAGTCATACGCCGCCATGTTACCTATCCAACGGTAACTTAACCATCACAAATTAGAAATACTAATAATGTAAAACAATTTCAAATTTATAACATTTAAAGGGTTTTTACCCATATATTTTGGTGGCTACTAGCATGTACAACCGTTTGCACTGATGATGGATTGTTTAATCCGAAAACGTTTTGCAATGTGTTTGTGATAGCCCGTTTGAGGCATTTTTATATACCTTTTATAAAGGATTTTAACAAATTTTTTTGTGATATATGGTATACAGCCAGCTACATGAACTTAGTTTCCTCGTGGAATTTTAGTATAATTTATTTTAACTGGTATATTTCAAATTCTTTTATATGTGAAGATGGTATGGATGTATTAGGTGTAATTTAATTTGATTCGCCATTTTTGTCACTATGGCTAGATTTTATTTATTAGTCGCTTCTTCACTAGTATCTATAAAAATAGCTGTAGCATTTGCGAAGGTAGCAGTACTTAATGTTTTGTTCTAAAGCTGAAATGTTGCACGTACACAGCGTTACATTATTGAATCTACTTCAGCCCCCATAGTTGTGAATACCTCTTTTTACTCTCTGCTAAAATATCTATCCAAAATGTATGATTCGAAAATTTCTGCTGTTTAGGCAAGAAGCTAGTTGCCTTTGTTAAAACCTTTATAGAAAACTTTTTTTCTATTTTTGTATCATATAGGTTATTCTATGAACTGGTTATATATTAGAAGATTCTATAGTAATAGGTTATAATGAGATGAATATGCAGATATCAACTTTATAGACCACATATTGGAATAGAAACTAGCTATTCAATTATGCAGCTGAATATAATATGTAGTCTGAAGTACAAAAAAAAATTGAATTAGTCTATTACCTATTTAATCAGTACTAAGAATAAAATGAAAATAGTTGAATACATTACTATGTAGATTACATTGCCTAAACAGGGATAAAATCACAACATATTCTAATTCCTATAATTAATGAAGATCCCTCAGAGAACATTGTTCCATCCAGCTAACATTGTATAACTCAGAAATCTTTCAAACTTCTTCAAATCTTCCATTTTGTTGTTAGGTTTTTCCGGACAGTGCTTTAGAACTACAAAGTTTGGGATAATAGTGATCGAAAGTGAATCAAGTATTTTGCGTTTTAATACTAAAGGGTTAAAACCTTAGCACAACCTGTTCGATTGTTCCATGCTTTAACCTGAAGCCAAATTGGTGGTCAGGAGTAAGTTTAGTTTTTTCTAAGATTGAAATCAATCTTATCAATAGAAACTTTTCGAATACCTTTGATAGAATCGGCAGAAAACT